GGGGTGGCGGGTCTCCCTGGCCCTTGCTGGGGTCGGCTTGGCTTTCGAAGGCTGAAAAACTAAAGGGGGGGAGCGCGGTGGGGAGCCTGTGCGGGAGAGGGGTCAGCGGCTCCGCTGGAAACTGGCTGTTCTCTGCCGCCAGCTTCTCTTTTCCCCAAAATCCACCGTCTCGAGGATGTCCGGGAGCCCAGGGTAGGCAGAGGGGCTTCCGCTTGGTGCCCAGGCGGGTCTTCCCCCCACACACACCTTGCAGCGCTTCATCTGTGAGAAGGAAGGGGCAAATTTTGTTTGCCTGCACCGTGGTGGAGTCCTGGTTGTCAGCTGGAACGGGGGGTGTTTTGGGCCAGGGGCACAGGGAAGCATTTGGCGAGAGGCAGCTCCCCGGCCGGGTTGTTTATATCCCAGGTAGGTGAGAGAGAGGATGCAGGAGCGGAGAGAAGAGGCCGGATCCATGTTCCTCTGGGCCGGGGTCTCTATCGCTGCCCGGTGCCAGCAGGGCAGTCGGGAGTCCGGGAGCTTTACGGGGCGGCTTTCAGCTCCTGGCAAGGCTGCTCAGAAAACTGGACAGCTGTTGATGCTTCCATATATTTAAGAGAAGTTGTATCTGCGTGTAAAGCTTGTGTCCCGAATTTAGGTCCTCTGGCCCCTTTTTAAGTTAATGCTTTGACTTCCCTAGCTTCCAACAACGGTGGTACATGGTTACTGGCAAACCGATGTGACTTTAAAGTCATGTGACTTTAGTAGATTCCCAACTTAACTTAGCTTTTTTTAAAACTTTCAAAGGAAATCCCGTCCTCTGAACAATGAAGATCTTAGACCCCGGCTAACCCTTAGACGCGCAAACTGGTACATGGCTACTGGCAAACCGATGTGACTTTATTAAGTAGATTCCCAACTTAACTTAGCTTTTTTTAAAACTTTCAAAGGAAATCCCGTCCTCTGAACAATGAAGATCTTAGACCCCGGCTAACCCTTAGACGCGCAAACTGTTTGTGAATCCCTCCTCGCCCTTCTGAAGCAGATGCTGAAGTTCTTCAGGGGGATCTTCTCTATTCACACACGGTGCCTGCGTGAGAACAGAGAAAGCTCCCAACGATCTTGTGAGTATCAGCTCGGCTGTGGATTTTAGTCCGAGCTTTTCTTTATGGCTGTGTTAAGCAGCTGGCTGCGGGTCTCGGCCCAGTCCGTTGCTTGTGCCAGAGAAGCTGCTGGCTCGAGGAGCTGCGTCTTGTACGTGCTCCCGGGGAGCTCTTCAGATGTGTGGTCCCAGAAACGCGAGCTGTGATGGGAAGGCGTTCGGGGCCGGAGGTGTCTCTGACGCCTGATGCAGCGGGGGGGTTTGTGCGGCGTCAGGCAAGTGGTTTAATCTCTGAGCCTGCAAGCCTTTTTCTGTAGAGCTGAGATAATGCTCCTCCCTATGTCAAAAATGCTCTGAAATTTCAGAATATTAGATATTGTTATATAAGTAATTGTTACTGTGCGATGCATGTGTTGGATCTCTTGACGAGGCCGCAGTATCACGAGAAACATCCCAGGAAGCAGTTCTGTGCTTAGATCAGCTCAAATGTTTTCGGTTTGTTTTTAAATTTTGAACTGCATTACAAAAATGATGAAGCTGAGGGGGGGAAAAAAAAAAACCACCCTGTTGTTCTGAAGTGAAAGCAATCAAAACTCTCCACTGACGCCGAGGCTAGGGAGCTCTGCCTGCTCAGCACTGAAATTGGAGCGTCTGGGGCTTTTATATTTACCATATTGTCCAGGAATGTGCAAAGGGAGCTCCTGGGACATGCGCTACTTACGAATTTTTATAAGCTAACGGAGCCAAAAATATTCCTGGAAAGCAGCGGCGTGCTGGAACTGCCTGGTTTTCAGTCTGCGCCTGTTTCTTTGTGGGGGCAACGTGACTATTTGTTTTAAAAAGAGGGAAAAAGAGGCAATGCTCTAACAAGGTAGAACAGATTTATTTATTCATGCTTGAGGTGCCCTATAGAAAGTATATAGTAGAGCAGCAGGGACGGTCCAAAACCGCTTAAGCTATGGCTGGCCTCTCACTGCTTATTAATTAGCCTAATTAGTATTTAAAAGGATCTCTTGGGGGGGAAGGCAGTGTTAGCCAAGAAGCTCAGAAACCGCGGACAGTTTAGGGGCCCACCGTAGCCTGGGATAAAAGCGGCAGCAATAGAAGCGGGGAGTGACAGCCCTGACCTGACTTTCCTCGCGAAGCGGCAGCAATAGAAGCGGAGAGTGACAGCCCTGACCTGACTTTCCTCGCCGTCGCCCGCTGCCAAGCTTTCTTCATAATGGGGAGGTTTAAGGGTGCCAAACTCTGCGCGTTGGGCCTGTGGGGCTAAAGCGTGACACAGTACCCTGTAAAAACGGTTTACTCCCGTGTGCAGACCTGGGGCAGCTGCGTTAGCACAGCGGCAACGAGAGAGACAGTTGAGCAGGTAGTCTGCTGTGGGATTTCTGTAGTAGGGCTTCGTAAAGGTTTTGCTCCCGTGAGGCGTGACTTGAGACCGACCCGTTGACAAGATCTTTTCTTTAATTCCCATGAAGACATCGGCTTTCGTAGGAAAGTCTTTGACATAACGCGGCCTTAGCATGACTAGCAAAAATCATCAGTGTTACGTGACTTGCGACCGACCCGTTGACAAGATCTTTAATTCCCATGAAGACATCGGCTTTCGTAGGAAAGTCTTTGACATAACGCGGCCTTAGCATGACTAGCAAAAATCATCAGTGTTACTAACGCCGTCATTGCTAAATCCTCTAAATTTAAATAGCATCGAATAATCTGGAGTCTGAATTGGCAGCTTGCATAACGATTGATTGCTTGTCATCTCCTCCTGGGCACGGTGTGTTTTGAAACGGATAAGCGCTGTCAGGGCCCGGCTTAATCCTAAGGAATGCAAGACAAAGGGGAAGTTGTTTAAAAGAAGATACTTTCCCTTTGGAGCCTGTCAGCTGGCTCCACCTACGGCTGCGCTGCTCATTTATTGCTCTTGGAGCAGCGGCTCTGGAGCCCGACTCGTCTTCCTGCTGCGTTGAGGAAACCTCTGCTGAAGGTCACGGGGATTTTGGTGTCTTCAAAATAGTCCTTTTAAAACACATCTCTTCTGATTTCAAGCGTCTGCCGAAAGGAAGCAGCAAAGCTAGAGTAGTCGGAGAACCCCGAAACGCAGGCTGGATTCCCTCTCTATGTGACAAGTGAGAACAGCATGAGTCCTAATGCAAAATATTTCTGTAAATAATTGAAATACTGAATTTGAGCTCGAGAATCACTGAATTTGAATGTTAGGTCCTTCTCCGTTGATCAACAGCTCGCTAAGGTGAGACTGGTGACAAAAGCTTGACTTGAGACCTTCTCGTTCTCCAGGTGCCTGAGCGGTGAGCCATGCTGGGCCGGAAAACGGGACTCCCCCACGACCTGAACAGCCACTGCCAGCTGAACCAGTCCTACCAGGAGGCTGTGCCCCTGCGGACCAGACCATCCAAGGAGACGGATGTCGGTTTGGAGGTGTTCAGCGGCTCTACGCCTGAAATCAAACAGAGCCGCGCCAGAGCCCAGCAGATGCGGGATAGGAAAGGTCGCAAAGCTGACCTCAAAGACTCTAACGGGAGAGAGGCAGAAACAATTACCTTTATTTCTGGTACAGCAGAGGCTCCCCCAAACCAGACCACCTGCTGTTCCTCTCTGTCTCAGGCCTGGAACACATACAAGGCTGTTTTCTGTTGTATAGTGACCTGTGGGGGCTGCTTTCAGGACTGCAGTGTCTGTATCCCCCATCCGGGGCCCGCCGAGACCTCCACCGATGATGGAAAGAATGGAGATTATAACGGGCGACTGCCAAACAGCCCCGCCAACGTCTCTCCCACTGAGAAGAATGGGAACCAGATCAAAAAGTCCAGCATGGGTAGCAGTTTCAGTTACCCAGACGTGAAACTGAAGGGCATTCCCGTCTATCAAAACAGGAGCCCCAGCCACCACCTGGAATCGGATTCGTGCTGCAAAGAGCTGCTGCCGGAGAAGCCCTTCAGGAACAGCATAGAAAAGCCACCGCTCCCCAGCAGCCACCGGAGTTCGGAGGAGTATTATTCCTTCCACGAGTCCGACCTGGACATCAGCGAGCTGAACGGCTCCATGTCCAGCAGGCAGATCGACGTCCTGATCTTCAAGAAGCTGACGGAGCTCTTCAGCGTCCACCAGATCGATGAGCTGGCCAAGTGCACGTCAGACACTGTCTTCCTGGAGAAGACCAACAAGATCTCGGACCTCATCAATAGCATAACTCAGGACTACAACCTGGATGAGCAGGATGCTGAATGCAGGCTGGTCCGAGGCATCATACGCATCAGCACCCGGAAAAGCAGGGTCCGGCCCCATATTTCTATCCCAGCCAGCCAGAGCCACGAGGAGAAGTCCAGCAGAGGCAACGCACCGGACAGCGGTAATGAAACGATGCTAGAGTCCATGGTCATCAGCCAAGACGGTATGTGCGGGTTCCTTGGTGTTACCGCTTCAAGAAGAGAGGGTTATTTTATCGAAGCCACGGAGATGTGGCAATGGAGCAGGGTTGAAAGCTGATGTCTATGTCTTCAGGCTGGGCTTATTTTCCTGGGCTGTGTGAGTGGAGGTCCTTGTGTATTACCGGAGACCTCTGCTTCTCACCAGTCGCTGCGCTGTGGCTTTCTTGATAGTATCTTTCACTGTCAGTGAAGTTTGCGCTGAGCAATATAAAGGCTTTATTCTGCTGCCTACTGCGATGATTCTGGCTTTCCTCCGCACCTCTAAGCTAGGCAGAAAGACCGTGAGTCAAACTTAACTGGTATGACCAGATGAGCTGGCTTGTGCCGGAGGATGTCCAGTTACTAAGCTGGCTCCCTCCCTCGTGTTCTACCAGCGCTCTTTGCTAATGCCACCCCTAGACTACCGTGACAGAGTAGCTGAGACTTCCTCTGCGCGGTGGGGCGAGGGGCAGCCGGCAAATATCCCTGCAAAGAGGAGGGAAGGGCTGCTGCCACAGCCCAAGTGCCTCGTGGCTCTTTCAGGGATGCTCTCCTCCTTGTCTGGAGCAGCCTGAGGTGACTGACCCCCAGAACAGGTTCTAAGAGAGTCTGTTGTAGGAACAACTTGAAAAGCTGAGTAGGGGAAGACCTTGAAAAGCTGAGTAGGGGGGGGGGCAAGGAGACATCCAGAAGTAACGGGAGGAAACGGGGTGGCTGTTGTGCTTCCCAGCTTAGCAGTAAGGCTGCTGTTGCTTCCTGGTGTTTAAGGACTGTAAAGCTCAGATTACCAAGACAATGGTGGAAGCAATCTGAAGAATCAGACTCTACCTCTCCTATTACCCGAGGGTGGTGCCTTCTGAAGGAGAGCCCTGTGCGCTCCCTGACCGGGAGCTTTACTCTTGAGTCATGGCTGCCCGTCCTTTCCTGTCTCAGGCCCTCTTGGTTTTCGTTCCAGATTTGGCCGTGCAAATATCGGAGGAAACACCAGCAGATGTGATAGCCAGGAATATGAGGCGGCACAGCAGCGCAGGTAACGTACCTGGCCGGGGGTCTTAGCTGCAGCGGCGTCACAGGAGTGAGGGGAATGCCCTGAACCTCTCATATTATGCACGCCTTCGGTTTTCACCATCTGCGAAGGCTGAGCTGACACCTGCCTCTTGGGTTACCGTAAGGGGTAGAGTTCTCTTGAGCTTTGGGAGCGAAGGGAGCTTAGAAGGCTGGGGTCTGCCCGGGTCGGGGGGTCCTTCTGAAAGAGGAACGAAACCCAAGTACGGAGCGCTCTCTGTCCATGCGCAGTGCTTGGCCCGAGCACCTTCAGTCTCCGGGTGTCTTGACAAAGTTTGGGGCTGTGTTTGGGCCGTGACCGGCTTAAGGTCACAGCTGGGTTATACTGGCAACAAAAGGAACTGTGCAAAAGGGAAGCAGGGGAGAGTGACAGGCTGTCCCCTGAGCTCTGATCCTCACGGCATGCGTGTTTCACTCCAAAGAGCAGCCCAGGGCTAAAAGACAAGTTTTCTCCTGCATAATAAGAGATCCCTCCTAGAAGATGGCTACAATGCAGGCAGGGTTGTTCCCTGCCTGTGGGCTTTGTGTGGCTTTCTCCTCCCTCATGATACACAAATCCTTTTGTGGCCGTTGCTTGCCTAACTGCCAGGCACTCGGCTGCTACAGTTCACGTTGTCTAATGTCACCGTCTCTTCTCTTTCCTCTCCAAGGCTTTCCAACAAGCAGAGATTCCTCTTTCCAAGACACGGAGACTGACTCATCTGGGGCACCTCTGCTTCAGGTGTATTGTTAAGGAAAAGGACCCAAGCAGCAAGCGGGCATTCCAAGGCTTTGCTGCAGTCAGATTTCTCCTCTTTCAACACGGAGTGTGCTATGCCACTTTTTTATTTTTTTTTTTCCTCCCCCCAGTCTACCCTGATCCTTTGTTGAAGCCAAATTTCTCCTGCTGTCTGAATTTCACTGGATTTTTTTTTTTTTTTGGACAATATAGAACATCAAGGAAGTAAACTGTGGAGCTAATGAATTTGGGAGGTGGAATGTGTGCCCAGGGAGGAGAAGATGGACAAGGAAGTATCAGATAACTTGTGCCTCTGTGATTTCCATACTTCACGTCTAGCTTCACCAACCTCAGTGGCCCAGCCCCTTCCCTGCTTTGAGGATCTGTTGTACAGTTCTTGCTTTCTGGCATTGCATAAGTTAACTTGGGTAGGGAATAACCGGATGGTGTCTCTGTGTTTGTGCCGATGCTGAGGTGAAGGCCAAGCACCTCCTCGCTGGGGACCCAAATCTCTATTTAAAGGGGCTGGGTTGGCCCCAAAAACCTAAGTCCTCTATCCCTAGCGTTTGCGGTAGCCAGATCTGCCTTCTTCCTGCTGACCCTTAGTGGTGTCATCTCCTGCTGCCTTGTAAGGAGAAGGTTCAGGTAATGCGGTTCGTTTAATCTTTGGCCTCTCGGCGTGTCTCCCGAGATAGTGCCGGTCGCAGAGGGGCGGGATGCCTGGGCAGCTGCCCCGCTCTCGTCTCCCGAGCAGAGCACGGGGATCGGCTTTGCAGTCGCTGCCAGCCCGATGTGAACTGCGGGCGTGAGGTGTTACCGATTGCACGCGTTGACCTGTGGCTTGCACGCCAGTCAGCTCTTCCTCACTCGTCTGCCAAGCCCTCTGCGTTTCCCCATCACGCTGGGTGTCACGCTGACTGCTGGGCAAGCCTTGAACTCGGGTTATGGCAGGTGAGCGAAATAGTCGGTCCGTTTTTAAGTTTTTTTGTAATTAAGAATTGGGCTGTTGGACTATTCTGCTAGAAACTCCCTTAAAAGCGGCTTGCTTCGAAAGGAAAGCCTCCCCTGAGAGCGTCTCCGGAGGGTCTGTGAGGAACTGCGTGGTCCTGCCTTTCCCGTGGGCGCTCGGCGCCTTCTCCTCCCCTTTGCTCCTCTCTGACAGCCGGTCGGAAGCAGGAGATGTGGTATCGCTACCCTGAGGGCACGGCGCCAGGCGACCTTGAGGGCTGCAGCACCGCGGCAGGAGGAAGCCCTATCTTACTGGTGTTGCCACTTGGTGGTTTATCGTAAAGTAAACACGCGAAGCCATGGGACTCGTTTATACATTCGTGTGCCCTTGGACATGAATAGAAAAGGCTTAGTTGAATTTACCAGCCATAGAATAAACACACCCACTCTTTTCTGGGGAGGGGGAAACCAAAATAGGCCCCGTGCTTTGGTGTGGACCGTGTTTTTGTGCCTTAATTGTACTGAAATGTGCCTTTATTCCACAGCCTGTGATTACTCTTCAAAAGGTTGGGTAGGGGGGAAAGGATTTAATTCCTCACATGAGCGGTCAGGCTTATTTAACCGGCCCAAGCCCTTTGAAATGTACGGTTCAAGTCCCTGTTAGAGCCTGTTTTTGTAAACCGCTCGCGTTTCAGAGCATGCTTTCATAAATCACGGACATTACTGAGACCACACCTTGCGACACTAACGGAGAGAGATTTTGAAAATACAGGGGAGAGACTGAGACTTGGGTTTGGCTTCCCCTCCCTGCTTTGTTTTCAAAGCTGTCGGTTTGTGGAAAACCCCATTTATGCGAGGAAAAGACTTGAAGGAAGGCCAGCCCGGGACTCCCAGAGCTGTGTTTGGTCACCTCCTTCCGAATGCCACATGTACCGCTGGACCCGTTTGGCTTCCTGCTTCTGAATGGCTTTGTACAGACGTATTCGGACGAGTTTACTTAAACCTGTGCACTGAGGCGTCGGCATGGGTCACGCTGACACGTCATTCTGTGGTCTGTGCACTGGAGCTTTGGAGACGAGGGGTGAGGATGGACTGGCAAAGAGCTGCTGATCGCTATTACAGATGCAGTTTTTAATGTTTAGTCTTTGTACGGAGAGTGAACGTGTATGGATTAAGCTTGCAAAAAAAAGAACCCCCAAAAACCACCCCAAAACAACCCAAAAACTCACTAAGAGGAAGACTGTCAACGCGATGGTCCCTGAAGCTGGTGCACCTGTGGTGTCTTACGGGATTCTTTTGCACTCCTTGGCCTTGGACATCTGATTCGGTCTTTTTTTTTTTATAAAGCAAAAGATGTGCTCTTCACCTGTGCTGTGTCTTTTACGTTCCGGCTTGCATCAGTTCGGGGAGAGCATCCCTCAGCGGAGGGAGCCTGGGCCAGGCGGGGAGGGGGGTGTTTGCGCAGGGGGTTGCCGATTCCCTGCTGCTTTCCCAGCAGCACGTGGACAAAGATATTTTTGTCTGTTTGGCAGCGCTTGCCCGTGCCCGTGTTCAGAGGGCTGAATGCCGGGCTGGTGCCGTCCGTTTGGCAGCGCTTGCCCGTGCCCGGGGGGATTGTTCAGAGGGCTGAATGCCGGGCTGGTGCATGGGACACGGGGAAACCGGGTGCAAATAAAGGAGCCTCTGGGGAAGTGCCTGTTTGCGTGCAGGGAAACCTGGACCTTCCCCGAGGGGTGATGCTGGAACTGAGCTGTGGGAAAAACTGAGCCTGGGGGGAGAACTTCCAGCTCGTTCCCTGTGGTGTAGACAGCTGTTGCTAAAAAGAAAAAAAAAAAATGCAGGAATTGCTCCGGAGCGGCTGCTGTCCCTGATGGCGGGGCAGGATCCGCCTGGGGAGGGAGGCTAGCTCAGTCTCCGACCCTGTGACTTGAAGGACCAGTTTTGCACTTTCTAATTTCACTACAAAAACTCGGCCGATAACCTGCAGAGCTCCATTCCCTGCCGCTGACCTTCCCTCGCCCTGCCTGGGCGGCAGGGAGGTGGTCGTGGGGGGGGGGGGTTCCCCTGGGTGCACAAGACCAACTCTCCCGGCGCCCCTGCGAGGTAAGAGGGTGGATGGTGCGAAGGACCGGCACTAACCCCTCTTTTTTTTTTTTTTTCCTTAAGTTTGAGTCTGTTAAGGACTCGTGATTCTTGTCTAGTCCGTGCAGACAGCAAGAAGACTGAGCCCAAGCTTGAGTCCTTCTGTGCATGGTCCCCTGCCTGTTCTGTCCTAATTTTGTTAAACGAAGACCACGTTCAACCTGGCCGGCCACCCTTCGGCAGCAGGCAGAGTCCACCGCAGTTGTGCGAGAGAGGTGTTTCCTAGAAGGATTTTAAAGCCGTGAACAGGTAAATGCTGCCTTCTCTCAGCTGGGAAGGGTCTCCAGAGGAGATGTTTTTGCGTCTGGAGCCCTCGAACCAGCTGGTTGGGGCCCCAGGGACGTGGAGCAAAGGCTGCCGGCAGCAGCTTGCTGGCCAACCTCCAGCACCCTGTGCAGGGACGTGGCTGTGTCACTGCCGTCTCTGCTGTCCCCACCTCCTCCTAAGCTGCCCTGCCAGTTCCCCCTGCAAGTCTGGGCCACACTTTTTTTTGCCCTCTGCCTACCCTTCCTCTCTAAATTTCTCCAGTGCTTTTCCTGGAAGAGGTTAGTCTTCCCTCAGCACTCATTCAGGCAGCTGGAGTGACCGAGTAGCTGTAACACGCAGTGTCGCTTCTGGCTTCTCTTGGGCACGTTGAATCCCCGGGGAAAGGCTGTTTCTGGAGGCTTTGGGTCCGATCGCTGCTCGCTGCGGCTCTGCTGGGTGCACAGCACGGGAGCTCATCCCCTGCCCCAAAGCGCTGCTTCCTAACTAGCTGGCTGCTTCAAAACTGCTGCTGCAAGGTCACTGCAATTTCTGGAAAGATTTGAAAACTTTGCATTTAAAACTATGTTTTAAGTATCGACTACTATGCCGTAGTCGATCTGTCTCTGCTGCCAGTCCCCTGCTCAGCAACTCTCCTGCTTTCGAGTTCGCTGCATGGATCATGGGTTTCCTTGCTCACAGCCGCACGTGGAATGAATCCACAGGCGTTTTTTTTGTCTGCTGAAGGCCGTGTTTGCTGTGGATCAAGCTGTCTTGGCTGTTGCTGTAGTGGTTTTTGCTCTGAGCATTCGTGTTGAGTGTTCTGCTGAGTGATCTGGCAGAGAGAGTTGGGTTGCCCAAGTGGAGATCTTACAAACACGAGAGCCCTTTACCCGGCCGCATGCATGTAAGCACGCTCTTTTCGCGCAGGTACTTCCTTTTGGGAGCCTGACTCGGCACCTTTCTTTTCCCCGTAGACGTTGTTTGATTTTATTGGGCTTGGTTTTGCCGGGAGGCTCTCCAGAGGCTCGCACCGTGCGTGGGCCCTCGCCGTGCTGCGGAAGCGCTGCTCTTCTGTACAGCGGCTTCAGTGGGATCCAACGTTCTGCCACAGCCCAAGCCACCCCACTGCCAGCGGTTCCTTGGGTTCGGGTTAAGGAAGATCAGTAACTCTGCTGGGAGCGGGTGCGTGAGGCTTCGAGTGTTAAAGAAATTCATCTTCCCCATCCGCACCCCGAGCTGCTGAATGGTTTATTTCAGTGTGGCTTAGAAGTTAGAAAGCGGATGGATTGACCCTAATTCTTTACAGCCTGGTCGCTGTTACTGCTAAGGCGGTAGCAGAGGAGCTGTGGCTTCTCCTCGAAGTAAGCGGTAACGTTAATTACCCCGTGCCTCCGTTTCCCTCTTTGGGGTTTTGCTGTTCCGTTGCTCTTTCCGAAGCAGTCCTGCAGTCTGGGCCGTTTCCCAAATGGTCTGAGCTGCAATATTCATTAATAAAAGCTAAGCCAAGGGCTGCTGTTAGGGGAGAGAGAGGAAAAAAAAAAAAAAGACGGGGAAACTTTTACCATATGGAAAGCCCGCTGCAGAGCCTGTATGCCCTCAAGGTTTTGCTTTTAAAGGACGTGAGAAGGGGCCCAGCAGCGAGGGAGCCACGGCCGGGCGGGTGGAGGAGCTCTGGGCTG